GGAGCTGTGGAAACTGAGTTTACTTGGAGAAGTAGAAAGCAACAAGGCAACTGGGTGCGGCGGGGGAGGGGAGGAACACTGGGGATAGACTGAATAGCCACGAGTCCAAGACGAACTCCGTGCTCCAACGTGGGCTAATTTCGCAACTAGGCCAACAGCGGCACTTTACTGTACATTGTCTATCTATATCGGCCCAGTTTTTAAAAAAACGCTTTTACTGATTTTCAGTCAACTGAAATTTGATTTCACTCTCTCTTTTTTGCGAAATAAATGCTTGCATTACTCAGACTTAAGTGTTACAATCTCGTCCCACAAGTTCAAGACCTCTTCTATACCAGAACCTAGACAAACCATAGTTCGGCGTTGCATCCTATCAAAATTAACCAAGACTTGACTGGCATTATTATAGCTTGGACAAATATGAGCAATGCAGGAATTCCTCTCATCCATACTACTAATAATCTCTCTAATAATAAAAGCATACTTAGGCTTATTCCCAATTCCGCCTCCCATCATGACAACCTCCAAGCAATCAGATTTCACGTCAATATGTAGATTAGTCCATTGTAACACCAACGAAATTCTTTCTTCAATGCATGAAGCGGTTTCCAAAACATCATGGAATGATTATATGTATTTGTAAGAGCTAAATATGATGGGTCCTTCATGGTCTCTTAGTATCATACCTATTCCAGCATACATCACCTAAGACCGAGGCATTGGTATTTAGCTTGACTTTGCCCTCTATCAGTCTAGTCTAAGAACAAACAACACCAGATTCCTTGATATTGCATGTGGTTTGCTTCGACATCGACATCTGATTGAAAACAGCTATCATCTTTCTTTTTATTGGATCCACATTTGAATTAGATTGAAGGGATATTAAGGAGGACAAATAACTAGCGAAGAATCTGACAAAAACATCCTCTTGAGGTGGTTGTTTAGAGTGTAGTACCTCATTTCGCACATACCAAAACCTTCAAAATAGCATCATAATACGAACGCATTCATCATCCTACAACTCAGACAAATGATGTAGAAACCAGTCTCGCCTGACCGGTTTTATATGTGAACGTATCGACAAAGTCCATTCCTTCATCATAGCTATCCACATGAGTATGACATGGTTGTGGGTACAGAAAACATGGAATGAGTCTTCCTCTTCACTTCCACGTACAGGACACATTGCAATGATCTCTAGATTTCTCATGACCTTATTTGTCCAATTAGTTAGCAAATCAGTGGCCGGCCGCCAAGCAAAAGATTGAACTTTTGAGGAGCTAAACTACGCCATATAAAGTTCCACCCTTCGTCAGTTCCAGTGGGTCGAGAGCTTGCCGAAGACTTTCTAGCATTTGATATTTTATCACTAACTAACATGTACGCCCTTCTGACCGTAAACGCGCTGATGTTTTTTGGGTGCCCAAGCAACATAGTCATTATCAAGCCGAGTAGACAATCATACTTTCTGAATTTCAACTATCACTGATACAGCGAGCTACTATACAAACGGTTTTCAACCCCTTTCCGCGACGGAGTTTTAAACCATCGACTTGTCTGTGAGTGCAATAGGGGGACCTTCCCACATGATCTAGAAACCGTCGGGGATAGGTCCTCCGGTCACACATGCTGGACAAAATAAGGTCGTGTGCGATCGGGCTAGTCGTCGCATACAATTATACAGGCCCAGTCAGTTACGTTCGTAAGTACATCCCACACAAACGTTTTCATTCGTATGTACATCCCACATAGTGAATTCCGGACAAATGTTTCTGTTTGTATGTACATCCCACACATCGAATTCCAGAGAAACATTTCCGTTCGTCTACACATCCCACACAGTATATCCCAGATAAACGTTTACGTTTGTATCTACATCACAAACAGTTTTCTGTATAGCCTCGTGTGTGATAGGTGTAACGATCACACACGCTCTGCCTCCGTTAACCGTTTGCTTTATTCAAGTATATCACACATGATTCGATGAAGAAAAAATGTATGACACTGGGCTATCCATCACACACCCTTTTACTGGTAGAACCGTTTGCAAAGTTCCACGATCCATTTAGCAGGTTTATTAGTTTACTATTAATAATTTCAGTATTAAGCAAATTCACATTTCATATCGAACATCTGTTTGCCAATTTCACATCAAGTACATAAATATATTTTAACATCACAATACCATAGCTAAGCGAAAACAACACAATACAACATATAGCTAGTTCATCTTCATAAGCACAATATTAGAACAATATATTCATTTCCCTAATCGACTGATGCATGATCAGCTAAGTTCGTCTTCTCCACCTCTACTTTCAGTTCAGTAAGAACCTGTTTTGCACTGGCCAACTGTGAAAGTGTCTCCTCCTTCGCCAGCACCATCTTAGCAAAGTCTAATTTAATAAAATCTGAACTCATTCTCCATCTTTCTCTTTTTTCCCGTATCTTGAAATATTCTTCAGCATTGACAACATTTCCTCTAAGCCTATCTCTGATCTCTTCCTCATACATGCTCAGAATTTTGCTAGCACATCTTCAAATACTGTAGCCACTCTTGATCAACCCACTCCAGATAATAACACTTACGTTCATCCTATAATATTTAAAACTAAATCAATAACAATTGTAGGAAAAATGGGTTTCTAGCAACATAGAAAATCACCACATACATATTTTGAAAAACTGAACAAACACGTTAATTATGAATATCTTATCAAAAAGATCAATGTGCAAATAAATTAATTTCTACTGAGATAATAACCAAATTCAGAAA